CTAGTAGCGATGCCCTTTGCTCCTAGTAGCGTCCTTGTTCCTAGTAGTTATTTGTTGATGTTTTCGAAGTCACGTTTTGCGCCTTTTTAGCCGACAGATGTGAGGTCCGTACTCTCGACGCCACATGGTGAGGCACTTTTTTGACGCCCACACTCTTGGTTTCAGGTCTTCTGAGCCGTTTTGGGACTTTGAGAAGAACCAGTCATATGTGATATTCTGGTGATCTGTTTCAAAAACGTCAGAGTATATATTTGCATTTGTCCCAGTGGTTTGTTGGTGTGCTTTTTGTTCCTTTTTCTGCTATATGCAGGTAGTTTGTAAGCCACAAAATCAACCTCTGCATTTTTGGCACCCTTCTTTTGGGAAAAGGGGGGTCAAACACATGTTCAAGTTGCGGTATTTGTTCTTCACCTTCCCATTAGAGGCTGGAATGCAAAATTTGCGTTTAACGCCCCAATGTGGGGTGATATAACTCTCTCTCTCTCTCTCCTTCTCTATCGGAAGCTCCCAGACTTACAAGTTTGACATGTGACGTCTTGTTATTGTTATGTCCTTCGCAGCCATGTCCACTCACTTATGGTAGTGGGTTCATTGCTTTCAATGCAGAACAAAGCCCCCAAGGTGTCATGGCCATTGAAGAAACAGCTGTTTGAAAGGCACCTGCAAAGGAGAACACAGCAACCTAGAAAAGTCGGCGGCAGGATGCGTCAATTCATTGACTCATTACGGCTTCATTTGACTCTTCACTCAGGATGTTCATGGGGAGTTCAACAAAAGAATCATGCCGTATGCCGCATGCCTTTGGGTGACCTCTGTCCAGGCGGAAGAGCTCTATGTCAGGGAGTTCCAGGGCCTGGAGGCCCCGATCGGTTCAGCGGAAGCGGTTCCCGGTTAGAGGGGAGATGAGAATGGACGTTTACTCAGAATGGATGTGCCTGCCTAAATGCTGTGAAAGGTTCACTCGACTCATTTTGTGTCCATTCACGGAATGCTAGCTTAGTCACTCGACACAATGTTCACTCGTCTCAGAGCGCTTTTAAACCAGGTTTTGGAGGTGAGACGATCAGTTGCTTGTGCTACGCAGTTGGAGTTGGCAATGTTGGCAGTTGGATTGCTTCAAGAGCAGGTTCAGTAGATGAAGATGCACATAAAAACAACATTCATTGGAGCTGTCAATGTTTACTCAAGTAACTCGAGTAGTGCCGTTTTGTTTTCAATCTGATAGTTGTGAGCTACCGAGCTACCTCAGAGGTTCTATTTTGGAGCCGCAGTTTTTGCTCATTTTGGCCTGCAGGGAAAGAACACTCAACACAATCAAGGTTGAGCCGTGCAATCTCTTTGTTCTAAGCCAGCCTTTGAGGCATCCTGACAGGATAGGAGGTTTTTGCGATGGCCTCCAACCTACCAGCGATGGCCGCATCAAATCCATGTTTTTTTCTTTTCTTTTTGTAAAACCATCCAGGCCAAGGACTCCCAGCGCTCGGGCCTTCACCGGGCGCCCTCGGCAGGAGCTCCACGGCCCTGACGACGAGAAGACGCGCCGCAGCCGGCGACGGCTGAAGCGATTCCGACGGAAACACGCCCGTGGCTGAGGAGGGGAGGGCGATGGAGGGCGTTAGCCTGGCGCGCTGGCGACGTTCAGGACACTTGAGCTGGAGCTCCACTTGTGCTGGCCTACTGGGCCTTTCTGAATGAAGAACTGAGATGTTGAGAAGCAGGGAATCGCTCCGCCGTCCCAGGGCATGCGATGTGTCCTCCTGTCACAAATCCCTGTGCTTGTCGCATGTTGTGGGGCGGTCCCGATTCCTGAAGCTGGTCAAACACGGAGTCTGATATAGATTGGAGTCTGCCGCATGGCGCAAGCGAGTGGATGCTTGTTGAACAAAGGGTCTTTAAACCACTCAGTCTTGGGGGCACGCAGTCTTGGATTGTTGGGGAGTGCGCAGTCTTGGAGTCATCACTCACCACTCAACGAAGACGCTCCTGGAGCGCACTGCCGTGATATCCGGAGAGGAGCCTGCTGGACATACCTGCGGTCCGGTTGTGGCGTTTGTAGTTTGTAGATACATCCCTCACTAAAGTCTAGGCTGGTCAGGTGGAGGTATGTCTGCAGTCACGCTTTTCTTGACTTTCGTGAGGTTTGGTTTCGCGTTTGCACTTGGACACTCTTGACCTCGAGGGTCTAGAGCTGTTCAAATGGTGGAACATTTGAAGCTCTCAAATTATGTTACTTGTACGCGCGCCTGTGGATTTAGGCCTTTTGGTTACTTAGGCATCTTCAGGTCTTGTTCCGTTCCATCCGTACGTACTCAATCTCAAATGCGATTCCATTTGGGCCAAAACGATTCCAGCCGAAACACAACGAAACAAGATAGAGTCCAAGCGAAACCCTTCAAAAAACAATGTCAAAATGGAGTGCTGACGTTGCTCTCGCACCCTTTGTCCTCAAATCAAACGTCATAAAGGCGGAAACCTTTCCCAGGTCACGTGGCTTCAACCCCCTTCCTGGATCTAAGGTAGCTTTCGGGACCGACGCAATTCCTCGCATTGTGTAATGTAATGAAAGGTGAGGTGAGGTAAGGTAAGGTATGTATGAAGGAATGAATGAATGAAAAAAGGCTCCAGGAACCAAAGCTGCCATAGTCTGCGAACATGACATCCTCATTTTCGAAAGCCGCAACTTCGGTTTTGCTCTGTCCGGGACGGTTGGCTGGATTTCTGATGAAAGTTGGATTTAGTCAACTCGAACATAAACAAGAAAGACACCTATAGTTTTACTGGCTGTATGGAAAATCTAAAGACGTTTGATTCATAAAACCCTCCAGGCCTAGAAATGTAAAGCCATTCTGGATCCTGTGGCCAGACACTTATCAACCAGTCTACATGACCCAGACACTCAGTGTAATCCTTAGGCCCACATTTGACGGCGGGGCAACCACCCCAACTCATCGGTATATGCTAGTCCAGGCGTTTTCTCTGTGCATGAGACACATGAACTCTCTACAGATTGGACCAGATTGGTCATCTGACAGCTGTCGATCGGATTTTCGAACGGAGGAGTGGTGAGACTAGTCTTCACGGAGGGACGGAGGTGTGTGGTCTTCCACGGATGAACCCCCGTTGGCCCCGGTCGTTGCCGAACGAAAAGGTCTCCGGGGTCCAAAGACACCCATCCATCACTGGTGCCTCACAGAGAGATCCAATGACACTGACGTTGTCACAACAAAGACGTTGTGCAGGAGCGCATCCACTTCGGCTGCCGTGATCTCCCAGACCCGGACGTGGGACATCGCGGGACTGGGCAAAGCGGAGAGGTATTGAGATGAGTGCCAGCAAGGCGAGTTGGGTGGATTTTGATTGGATTTGGATTTGGATGTGGGGATTTTTCCTGTCTCATCCTCCAGTTAGAGATATATGAAAGGACCCTAAGGCAATGGTAACTCGCTCACATAATCCTTTGAATGATTTGACTCATACCAGATTCGAGAACTCCACCTATTCCGCCACCGAGGCTGCCATGGCTGCAGCGCCACTGCACCGGTGCACCGCGCGGTGCGCCGTGTGCCGTAAACAGCGCATGGCCGCGGAGGTCCTTGGTGGGTCTGGGTGACATGTGGAGGAGACCTGAAGATTATTCGGTTGGAATAGACAGGTGACGATTTTCGTTTGGAGAGGGTGTGTGGTGGCATTTCCCACTTGGGGTGTTGCGACGGAGGACTCACTGGTGGTGCCGCTTGTGGAGTCATTGGTTTTACTGCAGTTCAAGACAGTTCAAGCAGAAAGAGAGTAGAGATCATGGAAGAAGTCGTTATTGTCACAGGTAGATGCCCTGCGCAAAAACCTACGTTTGGTGGTGGGTTGGACGGACCCCAAACGAAGCCCTGAAAAACCCTTCGGAGGCACTCACTCCACATCCTGTTTGTTTGCTTCGCCTCGTTTGCCTTCCCCGCTTGGCGCTCTCACTTGGGCCTCTCGCAGGTGGAGATCTCTTTGAAACCCGATCGCTGGCGGAAGTGCCCCGCATCGATGGCTACGAGGTGCGAACAGCGATGACCAGACACGAGTGATATGGGACTGGGTAATATGGGCGCCACCTCTTGAATCGTATTTGGAAAAGGACGGTGCCAACCATCTATATATGCACTTGATCTACTCCACGAATCGAAAGGCACCGCGGCGGAGTCGAACTCACCCCTAAACCCTGTTTTGACCTAAGTGTTCCTGCTGATTCTTTTGACCAAGGGTGTAAATTCAGTAGTTTAGATCTACTGAAACACCCCTATGGCAAACAATCTGTAGGACCTGTAGCATGGTGATCCCCGAGGCATTGATCCAGAGGTCTTGAGATCAAGAACTTGGTTTAGAGGCCTAGAAAGCTTGCGAGGGCATGCCTCAAAGCATCTCAAAGCCAAACGGCGCACCCTAACCCCCAAATCTGCTCATTGTCCGCTTATTTTCAACATCGATTGATCCGCTTCGGTGGAAGCAGTGGAAGTCCTTTGGATGCTTTGCCAAGCTTGTTGCAATGCTTTATGTCTTTGAGATATCTTCTGAAATGAGATCAGGATACCTTTTGGGTTTCGGAGTTGGAGTGTTATTTTCCATTATTTTCATGTTTTTGATGAGAACCCTTAGGACTCCAGAATCTACGTCGCAAAGCCAGACTATTGAGTATGGTGCCTTGCTGGGCCAGAACATGTGAGAAAAGGGCTTAGTCATTGGTGGCAGTTAGTGTCTTGCGCTTCCTTCCTTTGTTTGTAAGCAATCAAAGCAACCTGCAACGTTTGGTCGGAGATGTGGGGTAAAACGTGCAACCTTCGTTTGCAGTGTTCGCTGCGAGAAACGAACATTAATGCCCAAAGGACTCTGCAAGAAAATTGTTCGCTTTTGCTTTTGCCTCCGAAGATTAGCTCTTATGAATGTAGCTAGAGTGGAAACCGATTGGCACGCAGATATGGTCGTCTTTCTACCCCCAAGATAGCTTCCCCAATGGAGTGACACTTTGTCTGAAAGATCTTGACTATAGACATAAACATGCCAAACATGTAGTATCACTCACACCATTGCTGCTTTTGATGAACAAGCTGAAGCGTGAAATACGGTTTACGCTTCAAGTTATGTCACTTAGCGTACAGGAAATTATTGAAAAGCAAACAGCTAATGCGGCATCAATAGCACCATTACATTTTTGTGATGAACAAGATGAAGCATGAACCACCCAACCCCTGGTTCATGCTTCAATTTGTGTCAGTTAGCGTACAGAACATGCTAGAAAAGCAAAGGGCCAATGCAGGATCTCTAGCACCATTGCTCTCTAAAGTAAGTGTCCTGAAGTTGTTTCTTCCAGGTGTGGTAGGGACACTAAAGACGTCACCACATTTTCAGTATCATGTAGTGCAACCTGTTTCCTTATTCCAGTCTGAAATGTGGCCAAGCTTGATTTTGTGAAGTGGCAGTTTTGGTTTCTGATATGGTGAAGTGAGCGAAAGGACATAGAACCACCTAGCCTCATCCACACCCAGCTGTGTCCAGCTGACCCCACACAGTTGCAGTAAGCAGTTTATTTGCGCATGTCTTGTCGATGCCACAATCCATGACAATTTGCTTGCCTCTCTTGCAGGTCATACAAGCATCGTCGTGAACTACTACCTGGACATGCCCTGAGTGAAAAATCATCGTGCGAAAACCGCAGGGCATGGACCTCTCTGCGGTTTTTTCGCACGCAGATCAGTTGGTGTTTGTAGGATTACTTGGTCAAATTGGGCGGCAGATTCACGCTTCTATGTAGAATTTTGAAGGCCTTAAATGGGCATTCGCGCAGCTCACCATTTTTTGTATTGGAGGTGGCTGGGAGGGAATTGCGATGCATACCGCAGCGAGTTGCAGTTGCAGCGGCGACGCAGTGAAGGCATCACATTCGCACAAAACCGCACACATGTTGCTCAGCGCACCACTCTCTTTGCATCGCCGCAACTGTTCATGGTGTAAGGACCCAGTCCTCTGGTGTTCACCAAAGCTGAACAGCGTTGTTTCAGAGTCGCCGCAGCTATTTCACGGTCACTGTTAGATGTATCACCAAAGATATATATACACACACCCGCGCACACGCGAGCCCATAGAGGCTTCAGCGTCTCACCTCATGTGAGCCGATCTATAGCGCCATCCTGCACTCCGCGTGGCGCCCGATCCGGTGTGGAGGCGAGTGAGGCGACGCGGGTTTCGCCGGTGTATCGCCATCAAAACCCATTTGTGAAAACGAGTGGTGGTGGATCGATGGCCCGACAGCATCGATCAGCGTGGTCCAAGACTTACGAGAAGCGCCCATTGCAAACGATGCTTTGGTACCAGGCAGAACTGTGAGTGTTCTCAAACCGTTCCAATGATTTCAATAGAACACAAACTAAACCTTCTACCGCCTGTTTTGTTCTTGTTGCGAAGCGGAGGCCGCGCCTGTTTCTCTTCCAGGGGCTTGAGTGCTCATGAGGCCTGGCCAAAGACTTGCGCGGTAAGTTCCTTGGCATTGAAGCTCTCTAGTAACAAGGGGGCATTACTACTAGAAGCAAGGTCGCTACTAGGGTGGAGGCCATCGCAATTAGGTTGGAGGCCATCGCTACTAGTCTCAATCGACTGGGCCTTTCCAAGTAGATTTTCGGCAATGAACTCCACCTATTCCTCAACCGAGGCTGCCATGGCTGCAACACCACTCCCAGGTGCACCGCGTGGTGCTGTAAGGCGCATGGCCGCGGAGGCACCACATAGGGGAGACTCACTGGTGGTGCTGTTTGTGAAGTCATTGGTTTAAGTAAACAGTCTTTGGGAAGACTGTGCCAAGAGCTTGGATGGGTTTGATCACCGTTGGCTATGTCACGTGCGATTCCCTGTATCGCCTTCAGGTCAATGGGATGACTTTGCAGGAGAAGGATGAGTTTGTCGCGCTTTTGAACCAAGCGACCTGCCAGTGTCTTCATGAGGCAGGTGGGTTCGAGAGAATTTGGACGGGTGAACATCCGATTGGGCAGAAATCACTAAGGCTGTGGTATCAGAGAGTGAAGCAATTTGTGCCATATTGAAGCGGTTGGAATATTGAAGGTGATTCACTTGTCATTTTTGTCATATTAAAGCCTTTACGGCAGGTGGACCCTCAAAAAGAGCAACAATCTCAATGAGTTGATGAGTTGATGAGACTCCGGGGGGTCTTTCTGGCCATGGTTTTCTAAAGAATCTCTCCGTCAGATCTCCGCATGTTTGGCATTCAGAGTATCTAAGCCTCAAACACTTGATGCCCGGTTGCCCCAGGGTGGAAGGTCAAGTTGAGCATGTAGAGCAAATCCTTGGGATATGTTGATCTATTCAAGGGCAAAGAGAGCAGGCCGGAAGCTCGTCCAACCTGCGCATTGGATTGGCTCCCACAGATCTCTATTAAATGTATTTTTTCTATCTAGTCGTTAGCCCCTCACACCAACCATTGGGACTTCCCACCCAGCAGGAATCAACCAGGGATAGTAGATGAGACCAGTTTGCTGGCAGATGGATGTACTGTAGGTGTTTGATTTCAAGGGGGATTGAGGTCGAGGACGGAAAGTGGTTGGCCCTCTGCCACATCGACCAATCTTGACCGTCCTCAACATCTGGAGCGCGTGAGGCAATCCGCGTGCGTCTTGCAAAGGCCTGGTAGCTGGTGAGGTTGTTGAAGAGCATGTCGAGGGGGAATGACCAGAGTGACGCTTGTTGGGAGAAGTTGCTATTCGGTTGGCCATCGCTATTAGGTTGGAGGCCATTGCTATTAGGGACGAGAGTGATGCTTGTTGGGAGAAGTTTATCACTTTGCTGTAGACTGAAGTGCGATCCTCCAGCAATTCCACGAGCGATCCTTTGCGTGTTTCGTTGGGGTCTGATGGGTCAGACTATGAGTATGGCTAGATGTTTGACGCGGACGCATTGGGAGAAACATTTGGGTAGGCCTGGTGTCCTCAGTCACAATTGGAGCGTCCAGCGGTTTCCTCCTTTGTCCCTCATGGTAATAACACCCATCTTGGTGCCAGACGGAAACCATCTTGTAGCAGAGCGGGATCTGCAGAAGCAACAAAAGGGGGGGGAAAGTATCAAGTTTTGCATGGCTGGTTTGAAGCTGTTTGGCAAGGCTGGTTTACATGATTTTCCTTTGTGTTCAGCCCTTAAACGCTGTCCCAACAGCTCAAGGCTGCATCCATACACCCGTGGAAGGAGGACGAGTTTGACGTGCCTTGGCAGTTGCCTATACCGTTACCCGAGCTCTGAGCTTGCCCCAATCTTTCCCAGCTATTCAACCTTTGCTTGGTGCTGCACTGAGGCCCGGATCAAGGAGATTTTTGAGATGTTTCAGGACGTCCCTGAGTGATAATTGAGAACTTTAGTGTATGGTCACATGAAGCATGTACAACAGGTCAGCTTCTGAGTTAAAGTTGGACAGCCATGGCCTCATGCAGCTTGCTCATCAATTAGCTACACCTCATCAGTAGGAGTAAAGCATGTCTCAAAAACCCGTTGCTTCCGGGGAAGAGAACTCCTCAGGTTTACACATCGGCCAGGGCTGCACATCGCCCGAACGTGCGTTGATATGGTACGGATTGAACGGATGGCCTTGGTTGTGAGACTCGGTGTTCCTGTGACAGCGATCCTTGTAGCGCGATCCATCAGCTCTGATCACGAGAAGCCTGAAGCAGACTCAGCCGTGATTGCATTATTGTTTTGCCGACGAAACCGATGACTTTACTCCTTCACGGCTTTGATCCATTCAGCGCACGTCGTCGTTTTCTGCGCGTTCTTCAACGAAGCGCCGCAGAATCCGCAGGAGCCCACAGACTCAGCTGTAATGAAGGCCTCGCACTTGGGGGACGCCATGCGGATGGCTCAGATGAACCCCACAGACTCAGAGGTGCGGATGGCTTTGATGGATCCGCTGAGTTTTGCAAAGTTTGTGGTTGGAAGATCGCATATCCCACGATCGAAAAATCGTCATGAGTCAAATCACTTACAAGTTTCTTACAACCTGTTGATATTTCTCTGCTTAATGAAAGTTTCAACCACCGTTTAGTCCAAGGTTTCTTTCTATCTCACCTGAAGGTCTCCAAGGTCATGGCGGACCTTGGGAATTTGGAGAGCTTGACGCTGCCATTGTTGAAGAGGGTCATGAAGGAGACACCGGAGAACTTGGGGTGCCATATGCTCCGTCCGCATGCTTTCTGGATGGTTTGGGCATCCTTTCAAGAACTGCAAGTTTGCCCGGCCAAAGAAATGATCCACGGTTGGTTTAGTTCATTTTTGCGTCATACCATACCCAAACATGCCCAAGCCTTTTAAAGAATTGTTGGCCAACATGTCACCACCAGGATCGCCTGAGATTTGGATCACTCGTGGTGCGAAGCTCGCCCCAGATCACCCACAACTTGGTGGACACAAGCGTTGATTGCTGCTTTCCCGCACAGGACCAGATCGCTCAGTGGTCATCAAGAGACCAGGCGTCCTGAGATAGTTGATGTGCCGACAGTTGTGGTCGTTTAGTGCTTGGCGTGTAAACTGAAACACTGACCCTCTGAGTATGATCATTCTCTTCTTTTCTGGGTGTATTCTGTAAAACGCACTTGTTTGTTTCACAATCATTTTTACTCCAAGTCTCCCTGCTCAAACAGTCTATGTCTATCGCTGGTCTCAACCAAAACAGGGAGACCGTCTCGTCTCCTCAACGAGTTGGACCAGTCCCAGGCGCCGTTCCCACGGGGTCCATGGGCCCGCCTCCATGCCGAAGCAGTGGGAACAGTGGTTTTCTTGCTGTGAAAACCTGGAACTTCAAGAAAACCACTCCATGTGACGTTGCGAAAAGATCTCCATCGCACCGTTCAGATGCAGGTACAGGAACTCTTTGGTTGCTTCGAGCAGTTCGACCCAGGGAAGACATGTAGCTTGGCTGCGGACGCCTGCACGGAGGCGGAAGAGGCAGATTTGCAAAAACTTTGCAGAATTGATCCAGATAGCAACAACTTGGAGCTCGTCTGGCAGGCTAAAGTGTTTGGATTTGTCTAGTGGAATACGTATGCCATATGCAGTATCAAAAGTATGACTGCCCGCCAGTTCAATGATTTTTGCAAACAGAATGGGCTACGGCCCTGATGCCGCCGACCCCCTTTTCGTCGAGGTGGCAAGTACGCTGCTTTCTTCCATCAAATGCCAGCCTGCGCAGCAGACAGAGCGGGGCTGAGAGCGACCGCTGACACTGTCTAACGTTGCCTTCTGAATCCCATAGAAAGAGTAGTGTAAGACGAGCCCCAGGTACCTGCAAAAAGCAGCCTACGGCCTGTTGGCATGGTCCTGAGGCCACGGCAAAAACCTCAGTCTCGCCACAGCGAAACACCCTGGCCCTGGAGGTTTCAACGGGGCTGGGAGCGACCGCTGACACCGTTTACACCGTCTACACCATCTAGACTGTTTACACATTTTACATTGTCTACACCGCACACACTGGTACATGGCTTACACCGGTACACCGTTTTCGCAGTTATACACCGTTTACACTGTTACACCGCCTACGCCGTCTACACCGTTTAGACTGGTTACACCGCTACACCCTTTACACCGATACCAGCGCATACAGGGTAAACAGCGTCGCCAGCCTATCAAGCGTAAACAGTGTAACCAGCGTAATCGGCATAATCAGCGTAATCGGCGTAGTCAGCGTAAACAGCGTAACCACAGCGTAAACAGCATAATCAGCGTAACCAATGTAGTCAGCGTAAACAGCGTAACCAGCATAAAGAGCGTAAACAGCGCAACAGCGTAACCAGCGAAATCAGCGTAACCAGCGTAGACATCATAACCAGCACAAACAGCGCAACCAGCGTATCCAGTGTACTCAGCGTAGACAGCATAAACAGCGCATAAAGAGCGTAACCAGCGTAATCCGCGTCTGCCAGTGTAATCAGCACAACCAGCGTAGCGTAAATAGCGTAGCCAGTGTATTCAGCGTAAACAGCTTTTAAAAAAGTAAGCATGTAGCCAGCGTAACCAGCGTAAGCAGCGCAATCAGCGTGACCAGCGCAGCCAGCCACCGCCAGCGCATAATTGTTCGCGGACGCTTGTTGCCATGTAGGCCGAATTTCCACGCCAAAATCATCCAATGTGAATCTCAAGCAACTGGCTTCATACGGAGGCAAAAACCAAGGTGAAAACATCAAGCAACAATGATTCCTCACAGGTCGCTTTTGATTCAACCATGGTTGGTAGAGGCTGCACGAGGGCCGGACTATGAATTCGATTCTGGTTCTCGAAGCGCTTTGGATTACGCGAGATGAGTGAGATGGCCCCCTTGCAGTTCATCTCTGTGCAAGGCCACAAGGCTCCAAGCCTGTGGTGTCACAGACAACACCGCAAGGTTGAGCCGGCGAAAGGGAGATTCATAACTTCAATCTTTTCAGCATGGTCCGCAAAAAATGAAGAAATGCCCTCTATTGAAAATGGTGTATTTGCAACGCTGCGCTTGTAAATAGAAGATATTTTTGAATATTGTTTTGCACATGTTTATTGCATGTGTGCTGCAGTATATTCTATCTGGAGCTGACCGGAATGAATTGGAAAAAGGTGTACCGCGCGGTGAACTCAGCAAGTGAGGATCAATAGGAAATGAAAGGGAAATCAATAGGAAGTCGAAAGGAAACAAAAAGGAAAACAAAAAGGAATTCAAAAGGAATCTAAAGGAAAGCAAACGGACCGATTTCCACCCAGGGCTAGCAAAACTCGTTTTAGAAAGCAAGCGCTCAGAGTTTGAACAATGTAACAAGCAGGTTCCAGGATTTCAAAGAGGGTGAAGGACATGGAAACATAATCCATCAATTCTTGGCTGCGCGCTGAAATATTTCATCACTCGACGAGGGCAGGAAGAATCTGGACCCATGATCCTCGATGTTAATCTTTTCTTTGGGCAACCTGTCGAACGCGAGAGCTGCGAAAACGGTGTTCTCATCGCAGCCCCGGTCTGGGCAACCTTAATACAGCGCCGCTTGAATGCAGAGTTCGTCCCCGACGGTGTCGCCTTGCGCCTGAGCCACCACAGGCGTGGACGCCGTTCTGGACGGTGACGGCCTGATTTTTGACGGACATGGTTTGGTCATCACCACCCCGTTGCGGTGCTTGACCCCCCGGGGGGGTCAAAATTGTAACTTACATTTTTCGATTTCACAACAATAGCATTATATAGCCCTAGAGGGGGGGGGGGTGAAAATTGTAAGATCTAGGGTTGAGGTAGCCTATGTGAGGATGTTACTTTTTTTGACCCCCCCCTCAAAGAGGTCTTGGCCTACTTCTGGAGACTTTGAAAGGAGGGGGGGGTGGAAATTGTAAGAATCTATGGGTGGGTACCACACAGAGCAAATTACAATTTCCCCCCCCTTGTCGACGTTTTACGAGTGTGTTTTGTAATAGCTTTGAACCTCTCTGCTTCGACAGTTTCCACATGCCTTTGAACATGAACTTGGGCATCTTGAGCTCAAGATTGAACTTAATCCGGAGATTCTCGCTTTGCTTTCGTGCAGCACAAATGGCTCAACCGAGATCAACCGAAAGTTAGAACAACCGAAAGGGAAAGGGAGATAAAGTGGAGGACTCGATGCTCTTGTCTAAACATAGTGTCCCTGCCACTGGAGATTACAATTCTACCCTAGACATCCTTGAACGACCCGTACTTCTTATATAAATTGTTGGAGCAATGCTTTCCACAAAAAACATGCGCAACACACACTGTATAGTGCAAACAAATGGCAACCTTACAACTATACCTCTAAAGCGACATGTATCTGGTAAAGCTCTGAAGCCCCTCTCTCTTCCAGATATGTTTAAGGCCACTGCAACCTGGAAAAATACTACACGGAATGTATTTTAGTGCGCCCACAAGTCCATATCGCAATTACAACCTTCTTCTCCGACTATTGAAGCTCGTAAGAGAAATGTTGAAGCCGGAACATGAAAGGAAAACACTGCGCAGGGTGTACCATAGCGCAGCCAGAAAGCCATATTACAAGTAGTTCCCCCCCCTTCCGCACTGGTAAGGTCCTCCCATAAATGTTGAGGCAGGCACAGCCCAGGAAAAGCACCGCACAGTGTGTGTTTAGTGCACCAACAAGTCCACATAACGATTAGAACACCCTTCCGCCACTCTTCAATTTTGTGAGAGAAATGTTGAAGCGAGAACATGAAAGGAAAACACTGCACAGGGTGTACCATAGTACAGCCAGAAAGCCATATTACAATTAGTTCCCCACCTTCGCAGTGTGTGTTTAGTGCACCAACAAGTCCACATAACAATTAGAACGCCCTTCTGCCACTCAATTTCGTAAGAGAAATGCTGACGCCAGAACATGAAAGGCAAAAACACTGCACAGGGTGTACCATAGTACAGCCAGAAAGCCATATTACAATTAGTTCTCCTCCAACCAAGGTTGAGGCAAGGACAGCCCAGGAAAAGCACCGCGCAGTGTGTGTTTAGTGCACCAACAAGTCCACATAACAATTAGAACACCCTTCTGCCACTCTTCAATTTTGTGAGAGAAATGTTGAAGCCAGAACATGAACGGAAAACACTGCACAGGGTGTACCATAGTACAGCCAGAAAGCCATATTACAATTAGTTCCCCCCCTCCCGCACTGGTGAGGTCCTCCAATAAATGTTGAGGCAGGCACAGCGCAGGAAAAACCCCACACAGCACGCGCTACCTTAGTAGAGTCTCCAATGACCCTTGTCCAAGAAAATGATGAAAGAAAACAGCTTCTTTTATGAAATGTGCCTCTTTTGTTTGCGCCCTGTCACATCCTCCTTAGACTGTGTCCTGAATGAATTGAAAGGCGTCTTTTTGCGTTTCACTTGAGCAAGATTCACTCTGTTATATTATTGACCTAGTGTACCCAGCAGGAAATATTACAATTAGATTGCCTTTCCCACTGGCCAGAATCTTCGGGCGCAGCCGCTACATGCCAACACTTCCAAGGGAAAATGCGGCACAGTGCAAACTTGTGATCAACCGAAAGGGAAATTGTAAGTTACATTTTTGAGGGTGAGGTAGAAGCATGGACCCTCACCCTCAAAAATGTAACTTACAATTTTTGAGCGCGCGCAGGCCGAACGAACACACACGAGGGTCAAAAATGTAACTTGCAATTTTGACCCCTGTCTTGTGAGATGGAGGTATGTCAGACCTGTATGTTCAATTTTCACTGTTTTCCAAAACCTGCATTTTGACACACCCGAAATTGTAAATTACATTTTTGACCCCCCCCCGGGATTAAGGTAGTAGTGATGTTTGGTCCTGATTTTTCATTTTGCAGTCAGGACTGAGGGAGAAATTTGTGTTGTCGCTCGACGGTCTCTTTTCTCTTCATCCCTCGCAAAGCTCCATGACCTTGAAGGTGGGCTCAAAAAGAAATGCCTTTCCCATGCCAGGGGATGCACCGACTTCGGGGACTATAAGCCGGAATTTCCATGCCAAACTCACCCAATCTGATTCTCAAGCAATTGGCTTCATACCGGGGCGAAAGCTAAGGTGAAAACATCAAGCAACAACGATTCCTCACAGGTCGCTTTTGATTCAAACCATGGTTGGTAGTGGCTTATTCCACGAGAGCCGGAATATGAATTCGGTTCTGGTTCTCGAAACCTTTTGGATTGCGTGAGATGGGTGAGATGGCTCCCTTGCAGGTGATCGGTGTGGAATGCCACAAGGCTTCGAGCCTGTGGCGTCAGAAGCCACACCGGAACGTGGAGCCGACGCCCCGGACCGCATCAAATGTGGGCTTATTGGTACCTTGACCCTTTTCAGAACAACAGTTTGAAGAGTCTCATCGTCTGAAATTTCTTCAATTCCCTACATCTTTCTGTAAGTATTGATTGTTTGTCTCTGCCTCGGAACCTGGGCCTTGGGTGCGCGACACTGTGAGGTGCGACCGCCGAAAGCTCAGGGTGCACTTCAAGTGCGTTGACTGAGATGACTCAGGGAGGGCAAGTGTAGGTCAAATGTCTGCAGTGTTGTGTTTGTTGGCTTAACTCCATATGGAGGGTTTCCAGGTATCAATAGTCAACATGTGTGATCATATCGTGACTTGTAGCTTGTAGTCAGCTACCGTCAAGACGTGCGATGACCAGTTTAGTAAAGAGCAGTCTTGAATTTTTGAATTGCGCAAGTACATCCAAAGGCGATATTATGCGCCCTTCAAAAGCGATAGCCACGCCGCCAAAGTTTGGGATATATTTGTCTATCTATATATATATATATATATATATTGAGCATGGTTGAAAGTGCGATTGGGACGTGAAAAAGCGATGGGCCCCTCTCGAAAGCGATGATCTTGTTGAATGATGTCCTCTTCGTTTCAAGTTTTCTTGGCAGACTCTCATTTGATCTTTGGACGCACTTGCTCACACGCAAGCTTTGCATACAGTACGCAACCTGGCGGGCACCCTCTCAACGGATCCAGTGTCCTTGTCGCCTTTGATGGCCGCACCAAGGAAGGGCGGATGCCGCGGCGGTTCATTCGTTTGCGCCTGGGAATGCAAAGACTCGGTGAGGAAGGATTAACTTGTTGTCGCGAGCAGGATGTTCGCCAGATGGCTACCCTTACTTCAAGTACTGTAGAGGCGCTTGCTGGGCGCTGCTGCAAGATGTGGGTGGGTGTGTGCGCTTTGGGGCCTCGACGCTGTGTGCCGCTACTGCCGCGTGCTGATGCCGCTGCAGGGTGCCAGCTGTGTGTGGCCGTCTACGCTTTGAGCCTGTGCGCTGGTGCCGCTGCAAAGGTGCGCTCCAGGTTGCTGCTGCGGCCGTGTGCGCTTTGGAGCTTGGGTTCCGCTGAAGAATGTCGTTGCCAAATTCACGCCGTGTGCGCTTTGGATCAGTTGCTGGTTCTGGAGTTTGCTGCTGAAGGGTTTTCGCGCCAGATTCAGATGTCCATGGCAGTGCGCTTGTGGGCTGCAATGTCTGCGGCAGCACGCCGGCCAACATCTGCGATGTGCGCTTTGGTGCTTGGGCGGGCGCCGCTGCGGGGTGCCGCCGCAGTGTGTTGCTTGTCAGTGTGCGTATTTGGGGTGGAGCTTGGGTGTTCGCACCTTGCAGGCTGCGCGCTGGTGCTGCTGTAAGGTGCCGGCCACATGGCAAGGTGCCGCTGCGGGGTTGGAGCTTTGGAGCCTACGAGTTGGTGTCGCTTCAGGCCGCTGCAGGCCGCCGCTGCCACTGCCAGATGTTTATGACAATGCGAGTGCCACGCTGCCCACTGAACATCTTTTGCTATCCAAGGTCTACGCTGGCGTATTTTTTGTGAACAAGCCGGTATCATGTCGCCAACCAGGAACATCTGCCCAAACTTCGCAGTATATCGGGGAAAGACATGCCGCCATGTTTTGTTGGCAAAGAGCGCGGGAAGCCGAGTCGGCCCGCCGGACGGCTTGATCCGCCCAAGGCTGGGACTGCCTCCTCCGGACTGCGGGTTGAAAAAGTTACGAGGTGCTGGACCTGGCTTTTTCGACCTTCACAGTTTTCTTGAATTTGCCGTTGTTCTCAGAAACAAGAACAGGAACCATCCCAAATATAGCCTTGGTGACCATAGGGAAATTTTGAGGCTAGGACAAGTTTGTGGCTCAACCTCGCCTTGTTTGACATGGTCCTCTTGGCCGAAGCAACACCATGATGCATTATCCAGAAACTATGCTGCCAGACCTAGAAGACTGCGCGATGCCCCAAACAACCTTTCCAGATACCGATCTGATTTGTGTAAGCAGGACAACAAGTACGTTTCCTGCGTCTGATTGGTGCAAACAGGAATACCAGCGCTCGCGTTGATTGGATGTACGACCAGAAGTGGGACAAGTTTTCGATCGCAAAACTAAGGAACAATGCAGACCCTTTTGCAGAAACAGCTGAAACGTGGATGGTTGGGGAACGCCTCACCACTGCATGAGTAGCCAAAGATAAAGACAACATGATGGCCAACCTGCGTGGGAAAATTCATTCACCAATGCATCACTGACAATATCGTAGATTGAACGCTATGAGCGTTCGATGAGGTCAACATGCTTCGACAGCAGGCGATTGGCGCCGCACACCCATATACAATCCCACGCACTTGTCAAACCTCCGAGCGCAGTCGTGGCAGTCCGCCAGGATACATGTGATTGAGATTTTTGGGGATAAAAATTCTAGATGATGAGCCAATCAGAAATGCAGCTTGTCCAGGAACTGCCAACGTTGGGAATCAATACGCTCGTAGAAGGTTTGCGGCAGGAGCCCCTGCAGCCCCCCTACGCAGAAGTGTTTTGCTCCCCACGTGTGTTTTTTGTGCTGTATCCGCTCTCCGCCTCCTCCTCCTCCTCCCGCTCCCGCCTCCCGTCCTCCAACCATCAACCACCAGTCACCAACCGCCAACCAACCAACCAACCCACCCACCCACCAACCACCCAACCACCCAACCAACCACCCACCCACCCACCCACCCAACCAACCAACCAACCAACCAGCCAGCCAACCAACCAACCAACCAACCAACCAACCAACCCCCCAACCCCCCAACCCCCAACCCCCAACCACCACCAACCACCAATTGTCCGCTCCTGTGTCTGGTGAAGTTGTTAACATGTGGGGTTATCCAGCCCTATAAATTTTTGATGGGGGCCTATGTGTATAACTTTTATGACAATTAAAAACAACCATTTCGATTGGTTCATTAAAAGGAAATCAAGAGGAATTCAAAAGGAATCAAATGGAAATCAAAAGGGATCAAAAGGAAATCAAAAGGGCTTAAAGGGAAAACAAAAGGACATCAACAGCCTGGAAGCAGTCGGTCGGGCCACGGTCCAGAGGCAACCGCTCCACGCTGGGCAGCCGTTCCACCCTGCGGTGTCCCGGGTGGGGCTTTCCCCACCTAGGCATCAGCTAGTTTGGGTGCTTGTTCAAATCGCATTTTTACAACAGTTTACTTTACAGCTTCCGCAGAGTGTGGGGTGAGGTGCAGGTTGATTCCCAGTCGGACCCATCGAGCATATTCCCACCCATCGACTACTCATCGGTCACACGACTGTTCATCGGAGTAGATGGGGTCGCCGATGAGGGGTGGCATGGAGTGGCCCACTTCCCGGCCATTGTTTTTAGGTTGGAGGCCATTGCCATTGCTATAAACTTAAGCAGCTGCTGGCTACCTCTTAGCTTTCCGTCTCTGAGGCTTCCTGTCCCGGCACACCCTCATGGACGTGATGCGGAGCGGTGGTCCGGAGAGCCTGGTGGGTGGAGTGGTGGGTGGGTTTTTGGATCCATCCTTTTTCTAAGCCAATGAATGGTGTTTGATTCCCTTTCCATCCTTTTCACTTGTGTACCTTTTGGTGTTTCATGTTCATTCAAGAACACAGTGGCGTATAGCATAGCACGCTGAGACTTGCTGAGAGACTCGCTGAATGAATGCCAAGGCAATCAATTCTCGGAGGAGATGCTGGAGGAGACCCTTCCTTTTTGTGCACCGCGGCATGAGCAGTTGCAGAATGAACATCAGGCCTGTAACACCACTTTACGGACAAATGTTGCCACTTTTGTTCAGGGCATGCTGGAGGATGTCCCGTCAACTAGCTCCTTGGCGGAACTGGAGCAGATGAAGCGAACCAGACTTGATCACCTCTTTGTTGTCAACAGACCGACATGGCTGGTTGTAAAGAACAGTTGGACACAGCTTTGTTGCCAGTCGATTCCTTGGCAAAGAACTGTTTTTCGATGGGGAATTCGACCAACTTACCACATGACACTTTGAAGACTTGGATCATGCGATGATCATGATGCTTGCTCGCCGAAAGGACGCACGCGGGTTCAATGGTTTTTCCCCCTGCCCTTCTGTCTTCCTTGTCGGAACTGCCTTTCTTGACGCCAGCAACTACAAAGCTTTTAGCTCAGCGTCACGCACTGGAGGCGAAGGCTACGACTATCGACGGATCATCGCGGCCCTCTTGGGGCCTGAGGCGCTGAGGATCCGGCGACGGGCGGTCCTCAGCAGCCGATGCCGGTGTCGGTGACCGGTCAGTTGAGGTTGTTTTTCCTCTTCATTCTTGAATCTTTTTGAGCATCATTTTGGGTCTTTGTATACATGGAGCTCATGGTCTGACCTTTGTCCATATCCTTGAGACATCAGGCAGAGCAGGCAGAGGAGTTTATCTACGGCTACGGAGGGTTTGCTTCAAAGGGACATGCTCACGAAGCCCAGACTCTCCACTGAAGGTTGTTCGACGGCTGGGGTCCCCCAAACACAATGATTGACAGCCATTGTCCAGTAAACAGTATATACTCGAAAATACTTGATATGTGTCAAAGTCTTGGAGATACCCAAGCTTGTTTGCCGTAATTAACAAGCTCTAGAAAACTGAGGCCCATACCCAGAGACCCGTTTGCTGAACCCTGTTAGCCCCAGAGAGTTGAAGATTCCAGCCACTCGAGCCTGTCGGTAGGTGAAGAAAGGTGAGAAAAGTGATGGGAGTGATGCTGAGAAAGCGGAGTTGGAGGATCAGCAGGAGAGAGCTAGGGATTTCCGAAGCATGTTCAGAGAAAGGCCAAGATACATGTCGTCAGGGCCACTTGTTGGTCTCATGCTGATTCTTTTCTTTAAGCCTGTTTTGGCTCTACGGTCTACCGGCTCTTCTTCTTTTTGGAATAAAGACCCACCTCTACGCAGTGCAAGGAGCAGCAAGGCGCGAGCAGCGAGAGAGAAGAAGAATCCGAGACCAGTACTCCTGTGCAGGCGCATTTTGGAGCGCGCTACCTTAGATGTATGAGATGCTGGTGCAGGTACAGCAGTTAAAGATTTGGTGACCATGCATGGGAAAGGTTTTGTTTTGCTCAGCACCCACAAGAGGTGTGTCGAAGACAAGCTTTGACGACGCGCAGATAGAACAACTGCTTTGCACAAAGCCACAAATCAACAAAGCCGACATCTCTTCATAAAATGTGGTCTCCAAATAGATGGAAGTTCGTAGATCCCCACCAAAAATGTATTGGACACCGTGCCATCCTCTCTATTTGGGGATCACGGATCAGATGTCACTATGACTTCTCCAACAAGTGCAAATCATTTCTCCAACATCGCATGGTGACGCGGTGGACGGGTGTAACTGTGTAACTCCACCGCGGTGGACGGGTGACCGGGTGACCGAGAGTTTGGCTGGTATGGACCTCGGCGGATGTCCCAAGAAAGACACCCAGAATCAATTGGTGTTTATGTCCTCTCAACTGCTGAAATGCAATCTGCCAGGCAATTTGTGCTGTTCGAAGACTCCAGCACAAAATGCCAGTCATGTAGGTCAAATGCATTTGCCATGTTTTTTGCTCCGTGCTGAGTAGGACACCAAGATGAAGCCAACCTGGGAGCGAAGGAGGAAGAGGTTCTGGAACAGAGTCAGGCACATGTCAAAAGCGTGGTCAGGTCAGCCAGTCATGGTCAGCCAGACCAAGTCATGAGAGCATCGATTTTCGCATGTGCAAGATCTTCAACGGGCCAGCGAGGGCTTTCTCTTGAAGTTTTGGCACCAAAAGCAGCATGTTTGGCTTCTTTCAATACCGCTGCTTGCCAATTGACTACTCGCACCATGTCACCATGCGATACAGGCACAAGCCAGCGTGGGAGAGGGGCACGTGGCGAAACTTTTACCTTCCTCTGAGGCGCGACTTGAGCTCCCTCCAATGCTAACCTTTCAGTTTCCCATTTGCAGCTTTCGATAGCTCTGACCTCAAGAGTAAACAACTAAAGCAATACTTCCAAAAGGACATATCCGCTTGCTCAAAGACTCGTGGAGCACAGCGTTTATTCTGACTGGTCGTTCTTGAGTCTTGCACGTTGAATGCAACCTCAGCCAGTTTCACCCGTTCACTTTGCAGGTTCAGGTGCAAAGTGCCAAGAGATGAGCACTTCGCCGGGGGCCTGGAGGGAAGACAAGCGTAGAGCGTTGTCTGGTGCTTTAGACTCCGAGTGGCTTAGGGGTCAGTCCAAAGCCGGTCAGCGTCATGCGGTAAACCTGCAATGCACAGAACATAAAGTTTACATCTTCTCAATCTTGTTTGCGGTTTTGTTTCAAGGATATCTCTACTTGTACCACCTATACCTCTCTCCATTGGACTCCCCAAAGCATCGCTGACATCCCTTTCATGGCCGCGGTGGGGTTTCATAGTTCAAGGCTTTTAAGATCATGCAGATGTCCCAGGAGTGTTGTGAGATGTTTGGGAAGGCGTCCCGCTGCTCCAGGCCAGTCTAAAAGATTACTTTGAGAAGGGCTACAAGCAAGGTCTTGTTTTTGATCACGACGAGTACCAGAATGACCCGAAAGCGTGGTGCTGGGTCCACACCAAGTTGGGCGTCAAGGCGCCGTTGAAAATCAGCATGTTCAATCTGTTCTTGTTTCTTTGTTTCTAATAGCGATGGCCTCCAAGCTAAGAGCGATGGCCTCCAAGCTAAGAGCGA